CCCACGGAACTGCAGAGAACCCCCGTCCAACCTCCCTCTCCAGGGTCACTGGGGTCTCCCCATCACTTCCTCCCTCGCCACCCCCAAGCTCTGGCACCCCAGGGTGGCAGCACAGCCCCAGGCTGGGGATCCCTGGGCCGTGGGGGCCCTTTGGCATTTACAGAGTGGCCTTTGAGAGCTGTGAAGTGTCCCTGCCCCGTCGAGGGCCGCGTGTAAACAGAGGCCGTCCCGCGGCGCGGCGCGAGGAATGCGGCACACAATGGCCCAGTGTTGGCCACCATAAAGCTCCACTTCTTCTGCCCTCCACAAAGGGGCTCTGAGCGGGTGGCTGGCGTGGGGCTCGGCCCTGGCCCCACTGACCCTCCCACAGAGCCACTCTGGCTGCCAGGGGCTTTGCTTTGAGCCAAGGGAGTGAGCAGGAGAAACCCAGTCTGGAGCTTTTTCCTGCTCTGCCCTTCCCCACGTGCTGAAACTCTAATCAACTGACCTAAGGGAAGATCAGCATGTGGGTTATGAGGGTTCTGGTTTCCTCATGGAACTGCACCAGGGGAGGTTCAGATTGGACATGAGGAAGAATTTCTGCATGGAAAGGGTTGTCCAAGGAGGTGGTGGAATCAGCATCCCTGGTGGTGTTGAAGAAACAGCTAGATGTGGCACTCAGTGCTCTGATCTGATTGAATAGGTAGTGATTGGTCAAAGGTTGGACTCGATCTTTTTTTCCAGCCTCAGTGACTCTGTGATTGTGAGCGTTAACAGCATTGGTTTTCCACCAAAGTGTCTTGAAGCATTTAGCTTTCAAATGTTAACTTTTCTTCACTGCCCAGGAAAATGTGAGAGAGATTTGTCCCCTGGCTGCTGTCAGACATCACAGAACATCAGCACTGAGGGAACCAGGCTCGCTGGAGGAACGCACCATTTTTAGAGACATCTCTTCTGAATCCTCCTAATCTTGTGCAGCTTCCTTTTGTCTTATCCCATCAAAGTGTGACAAAGCCTTTTCATGGGGGTTGTTTTACAGATGTTCTCCTCATTCATACGAGAGCTGTAGCTGCTGTTAATTGTGTCTGTTCCAGGAACACCTCCGGGCCCTGCTGGGATGAGTGATGGGCATAGCTGTCTTTGGAGGTTCCGAGGGAAAAGGGAGGGGATGGGGCACAGGAAAAGCTGGAGGTGCTGCTGGGTTGGGAAAGGACTGGCTGTAGCTATCACTGTCCTCTTCCTCAGAGCAGTGTGGCCCCTCACCAGCTCTTCTGGGGCTGGTCCTGTTGAGTGCTGAGGAGTGTGGGGTGTGGACATGTGCTCTGTGCTTCAGGGTGAAGACAATAATTGTATTTGGCAAAACTTTGCTTCAAAGCTGTGAGGAGTTTTGCATGGCTTATCTGCTGGGCCCTGGGTCGACACCCTCCTGTGACTCTTCCCCAAAGTCTTACCAGTTTCATGTGTTTTAAAAATAAAGGCAGAAAAGCTTGGTGCTGTGCCATTTCAGCTGGCTCTGACATGGTCAGGCAGCCCCTGGGACCTGGGCATCCAGGATTTTCTGGCATCTGGAAAAATATTCAAAATTAATTTCTCCCTTCCCTCCTCCTCGGGGAAAAAAAAAAAAAGGAAGAAAATAAATGATTGGAGCTTGCAAAGGGTTTTCTGTTACACCATTAACTGTGCACAGCTTGACTGCCAACAGCCCCTGAGGCTCGTGGTCCTCTGTCCTCCCATCCATCTTGTGCCTGTCGTGTCCCTGCTAACTTCAGGATGTTTCTGTGGAGGAGGAGTGGAGACACATTGCAGATGTGACTGCATCTTGTGCTCTGTCTTAGATCACAGATACTTTGAGGCTTTTTTTCCCCTTGTAATGAGGCCTTGAGTCCCTGTGCTGTCTGTGCTGAGCACTGCCCGAGCTGGGGTGTAGCCCTCACCCCCAGAGGGTCAGGTCACTCCCAGCTGGATCAGAGCCTTGCACATGGTCCATCCCCACTAACTGGCAATCACTGCCAACTCCTTCTGCCAGTGCTTTATGTGCTGGGGATGGTTCTGATCCTGGGGGAACGTGTAGAAGGTGGATGGATGATGTGCTGGTGGCAGACACTGCCTACACGGTCTCTAGCATAAGTGTATTCATAGAAATCTAGTAGAAACCAAGGCTGGCTGGAGCCTTTGGTTACTGGAAGTCTGGTTTTGTCCCAACACATCCTTCTATCAATTGTTTTGTAAGAGCTAAAAATTGGCTGGTTTCAGTGGAGAGTTAATCATCATCTAAAATGGAGTTGAGCAATTGATGTAGCTGCGTCAAAATGTTTCCCTCTTCCCTTCCCCCTTCTTCCCCCTCACTTCCCCCAAAAAAAGAAATTCCTGGCTGATACTCAGAATCCAGTTCAGTTCTCACTGTGCAAGTATTAAACTGTGGGTCTATTCTTTCAAATTTCTGGATTTTTATGGGCACAATCGTTCTGTTAACAGGATTTTTTTTCTTGTGGTTTCAATGCATTTATATCATTGACCTTTGCTTTAAAAAGTATCTGACAGTCTTTGCTGGGCTGCAGCTATAAAAAGGAGTGTTGTAAGGGGGCTTTATTCTATGGAAGCAATGACCACAGGCAAAGCTTTATATTTGCTGAGTGATTTAATTCTTGCACATGCAGGACTTGGCTCTGTGCCATGCGTAACATGTTGAGAAAAGGTCTGCTCGAGAGGCATTCAAACCAAACTTTCCAAAACAGCCTTTTTTCCCCTTCTTTTAAAAAAAAAAACAAAAAAAAGGCAAGCTTTCTTTCCTGTTATTTTTAAGCTAACAAGTAAAATGAGGGGACTCTGCCCCGAAATGCTGCACTGAGCTCTAAAAGGGTCACTGGGGGAATAAACCTCCTTCTCAGAAATGGAGTGGGAGGTTGGGTGCGAGGGTGCCAGACGGGAGAGAGGAGGGTGTCAGCAAGACAGAGGCTTGAGCTGGGAACAGGAGGGAGTAATCTAGAACATCCTGCACTCCAGGGGGAAGCCAGAGCAGGGTGAAGACAGTACCTCTCTAGTGCCTGGTCTGTACAGCCCTACCCATAGGGCGCATTCCCAAAAGATGTGATGTCGTGCTAAAGAGGAGATTTTTCCCCCCTCCTATCCATTGTTGTTCCCTACTTGGCTCTGCCTGTCCCCTGCCCTCTTACAGGAATATCTGTGCAGTAGCAGTCAGAAGCAAATAAAAACAAACTGGTTTTTTGTTTGTGCTTTTTTTAAACACTGTGACAACGTTTGGATTAATGTTAGGTCTCGTGAAAAGCTCTTTAAAAGTCAAACACACTGAGCTGCTTACCAGCATCCCTTTGAATCCTGCCTCTGCCTGCTGCAATTCCAGATAATGGGCTGGAGAGCCAGGAAACATCATCTTTCTTTTTCCTCCTTGTAATCAGGCCATTAAATATGCCTGAGGTTTTGCATTCTGGAGCTCTTCAGCTGTGCAGCCCCTTGGGCTGAGGGCTGTGTGTTGGTGAGCATTTCCTCTTCCTTTGGCAAGCAACAGAGAGACTGAATGATGCTAATTTCTTACAGAAGCAACTTCTTCCCCCAAACATTGCAATCTAGTGCGTTTTAATTAAAAACAACACATCAACAGTGCATCAAACCTCTGTTAGTTTTAATCAGCAGATTTTTCTGGGGACTTTTAGGGACAAATTGTGCCTTGCTCACTCTTCCCTGGAGGAGAGAGGGAACAATGGATGAGCTTTGTGCAGGCACAGTGAGCCCTCAGATAGTGAACTGAAAAGGTATTTCAAAGGTGTGTAAAAGGTGTTTGAGTAGGGGGAAGGTTATGTGGGGGGAGCCAAGAGGAGGATGATCCAGGGGTGTGCAGGAGTGTCTCATCCGCTGTGGCTGCAGATAAATCCATCACCTGCAGGAGACCAAATCGTGTTTGTTTGGGTTCCCTGTGCAGCAGGCAGGGCTGAGGTTTCTGCAGCTCACCCCAGGGCTCTCAGGGATGTGAAGAGGCACTCTGTGCTCTCTGCCCCTCGGCTCAGGCCTTGGCTGCTCCCTGTGTGCAGGTGGGATGAGCCGCTGCTGGCAGTGCCGTGCCGAGGGCTTGACGGGAAGGAGCATTTTCTCCATTCCTGTGATTCCTCTAAGAGCTGAGCTAAATGCTGCCAGGATACAAAGTCTCTTATGAAAGCAAAGGATTTGAAGCCTCTGTGTGGAGAGCGTGGCATGGAAAGCCAGAGGAATGAGGGTAACCTTTGCTTTTTATAGCTTCTGGTGTTTGTTTGCTCATGGCAGCCACCAGCAGTGCCCTGTATTCACTGTGCCCTGCTCCACCCTGTGCTCAGTGTGCCCGAGTAAACAGCTCCTGTCTGGGGTCAGCTGCAGTGGAAACTTTTGCTGGGGAAGGGAAAACCCTCTCTTGTCTTTGCCTGGCTCTGCTGGGTAGGAGAAGTGAACTGGAGAGAGGGACTTTGCCTCGGTGTCCGTGGAGATGTTGTGTGGAAGGGATCATTGGGATCATGGGGGAGGATTGGAGGGAGTGCAGGTGGCTGAAACCCGAGTGAGACACCTGAGCTCCTGCACCAGCTCTGGGGGGAGCTGGGAGAGCAGGTGCTGAGCAGGGAATTGTCTGCTCACCCGAAAATCTGGGAGCTGGTAATCCGTGTGGGTGCTGTGCTGTCGTTCAGGCCCAGGGATCACAGGTGTCCCAGTGTCCTGCAGCACCCAGGGCTGGGGAGGGACTGTCAGAGCATCTGCTGGGGCTGATGCAAGGGGATGGCTTTGGGCCAAGGCTTTTTAGAATGAGTGATGATTTCTGGTGCCCAGCTGGGAAGTGCTGTCAGGGTAACTGGCTTGGCAGAGGCTCAGCCTTTCTGGAACTGCCCAGCTCTTTTTGGAAATGGTTGCTCCTGGGTTTCATGTCCTGTTTCCAGCAGAAAGGAGGAAAAAGAGGAAAGGGAGTCCGAAGTCCTGCCCACAGGTTTGTACTTTGGATGCCTCTCGGTGCTGCCAGATTTCACTGTTTGCTTTTCTCTCTGCAGCTCTGGGAAGTGCCAGTGTAAAGTTGGTGTCAGGGGCCTGAAGTGTGATGAGTGCAGCAATGGGTACTACAGGTTTAACGACTCCACCTGCATTCCCTGCCAGTGCCACAACCACTCCCACACCTGCGACAGCCTCACAGGTAACTGTCCTCCTCTGGCCCTGGGGCTGCAGCCTTCACCTCTCTCTGTCTCTGGTTTTGCCATTCTCATCTGCTCTTATCCCCTTCATCTACATCTTTCTCTTTCACTACCCAAAACCTTCACCTTAAAGCTGAAATGGAAATGTGGGTCAAGGTTGGAGCTGGTGCTCTTTGAAGGAAGGCAATAAAGGCTGTGTGTTTTACCCCAGTGCAGAGCCTTAATTCAGCAGTCTGTATCGAAAATCAGGGCTCTATTGTTCTCTGCACTTACACAAACACAAAACAGGAGTTTTTAAAGAGCTTTTGTTCAACTGCTGTTTACCTGGAAACATATACTGTGCTGGCACTGACGTAAGGGGACTTACTGCCACAGATAACAGGATTAGAGCTGGACAAAACTGGCAGCATCTAATTGCTCACTTTTTATAGATTGTTCATTTTCCTAGATCACTTCTTTGACTGTCTCTCAGTCAGCTGTTGATGGAGTGCAAATGTTGAGGCACCTGTGCATGAGCAGCTCATGGGAGAGCAGGAGAGCCTGATCGCTTTCCCAGCTCCGCTGCAAGGAGAGATCCCAGAGGAGTGATGTTATGTGACTTCAGCCACAAAACTCACTTCAAAATCCAAATCCTCATCAAAACTTCAGGCTGAAGTGCAGTTCTGCAATATTTATCCAGGAGCTTAGAAAGGGGTGATAATTAAAACTGTTGCAGAGTCTGTGTAGCTGGCAGAGAGGCAGAACTGCTCAGCTAAGGTTTTTCTGCGCCGTGTTCCCTCATGGGCTGTGTGTTTGCAGCAGAGGAACAGGCAGCTGCAGTGCTGATGCCCTGATCCTGCTCAGTGTTAGCAGCAGGCACCAGAGCTGTGCTCCCTGAGGATGAATTGCTGCATTCACTCCCATACTGAGCTCTGTGCTCGTGTCCTAGCGGGATTGAAGTGTCTGAGTCTGTCCCTAAAGCTGTGCACACATCAGCTGTGTTACTGATTTGGAGCTGGCTGTGTGGGTTTTGTGAAGGAGTAGGATAATCTGCTCTTTCTTTTTTTTCCCTCACTGTTCTCCCTGCTCTTTACTTAAAAAAGAAAACCCAAGGAAGACAGCACAGACCTTACCCCTGGGCTGGGGCTGTTGAGGCAGCCCTTGTGCCAGGGCTGCCCAGTGCTGCGATGAGAATCCCTTGTTTTCCTTAATGGCCTATTGTTGATGTGACAAAAATCCTTTTTATTTTAAATTTTCCTCCATCTGCTTTATTTGCTGCAGAGAGTGGGGGAACCCAACAAAACCAGAGCAGAGAACAGTCGATTAAAAATGAGATGTGGTGCCTAATAAGTAAGGAGCACACTCAGCCCACTCTAGAGACTGCACTCTGTGTGACCTCCCCGGCTCTACATCAGCTCTCTGTACTCTTTGTCAGATTTTGAAGGTTTTTTTCCCCATTAACTCTGTTCTTTGGGCTCCCTCTGCCGGCTCTGCAGGCACCTCCTGCTTGGCATTGCCGTGTCCAGGAGGAATATTTACAATTACAGGGCATAAATAAATAACTCGGGCAGCAGGAGCTCCCCAGGCGACAGCACTTCCTCTGACACGGCCCCTGCACCCCGTGGTGTGTCTGGGCAGTGAGGTGGGTTGGTTCTTCCCAGTTGGGGTACTGTGAGGTCTGATCCTTCCTGAGGGCATTATCAGGATGAGAAGTGCTATTAATTATTCAGGCTCTCCACAGTAATACCTGATTGCAGCCCGTGCGTGCATCGCATGGCTGAGCAACCTGCTGACTCATGGAAACACAGCCATTTTGCAGGGCTGGTGGAGATAAATGGGAGTCATTTCTGCTGATGGCAAAGACATTGGTCCTGAAATGACCAAGACTGCAGAGAAAACTCAGGTGTGATTCCAGATTTATGCCCCCATTAATGCCTGTGGAGCACAGCCCAAGGCAGCCTGGTTTGTGACCAGGCAAATAATAGAATCTTTGAGAATCACAGAATCATACAATCATCCGGGTTGGAAAAGACCTCCAAGGTCACCAATCCAACCCTACCGTGGTTACAGGACCATGGCACTAAGTGCCACATCCAGTCTCAGCTTGAAACCCTCCAGGGATGGTGAATCCACCACCTCCCTGGGCAGCCCATTCCAATGTCTGATCACTCTCTCTGGAAAAAATCTCTTCCTAATATCCAACCTAACCCTCCCCTGGCAGAGCTTGAGTCTGTGCCCTCTTGTCCTGCTGCTGTTGCCTGGGAGCAGAGACCAACCCCCACCTGACTCCAACCTCCTGTCAGGGAGTTGCAGAGGGTGCTGAGGTCTCCCCTGAGCCTCCTCTTCTCCAGGCTGAACACCCCCAGCTCCCTCAGCCTCTCCTCATGGCACTTGTGCTCCAGTCCCTTCCCCAGCCTCGTTGCTCTGCTCTGCACCTGCTCCCATGAGCTTCCCTGTTCCAGGCAGCCCAGTGAAACAGCTGATCAAGCTCTGCAGCTGGAACAACCAAGCCCAACAGATGAATTTCCCCTCTAATCCTGACATCTCTCCCACAAAACCCACTGGCTCGTGTCTGACAAGCTGTTGGGGGAAGAGCAAACAGTGTGTGGGAGCTGAGGCTGAGCAATGTCCATAGTCATCGGGTGCTGCCAGCCCTGCTGGGTGGGTGAATCAGCCACTTCCTGGGTTTGCTTCCTGCCCTTGGCATCAGGGGTGGCTGCAAGGACATGCTGGGCTGGCTCAGGGATGCTCAGCTGCTGAGTTGTTGCTGTGGAAAGAGAGGAGCAGGAGCTGTGCAGCATGTTGGGCTTGCAAGGGAGCCAAACTGCTCTGATACTAATAAGAAAATCTGCTGGGGGCTGTTTAACAGTTAGCATTAACCTAAATCAGGATTTTTCTGTGGTTAATGTTGATATGAGAGTTTACCATCCCCCAGCAGCACTGCTGGATCAGCTCAGTGAGTCTGTGCTCTCACACGTGGTGGTTGTACTGCTCTGGTGCCTTTGCAGGGTCTGGTCCAGGGAGTTAATCACAGGAGCTTCCCTCAGCTCCCTGCCACCTCACCAAGGAGTGCCTGAATTACAGCCTGTTCCTGGGGATGGATGGGCTTTGGATAGAGGCTGCCCTTGTATAACCAGGGAGATTTTTCTTCTCTGCTCACAGCAGAATCAAAATGCAATTTGGAGGCCATTAGGACACAGTGTCTGCTGAGACACGGCACGCTGGGTTTCTGATTCAGGGGCTTCCCCAGCTAGGGGAGGTGCTCACGTGAGCCCCCAGTTCTCCTCTGCGTCTCTGGGAAGGTCAGTGGCTGCTGCTGCCTTGTCCTGGAGGAGCTGGTGGGATGGAGCTGTCTGCCCTCAAAGCAGGATGGTGGCACATCCTCACCCCTGGCCACTTCTGGGCATAGAAAGAGGCTGCACACAAAAAAGGCTAAGACTTAAACCTGAGGAAACTCTCATGGGAGTTGGGGACTTGAAGCATCAAAATTCCATCTCAGTGGTACAAATGCAAGCTGAGACTCCTTTCCTTGAGGAAAATTTAGCATTGATAGCACGTGTTTACCTGCAGTGCCCTTTCAGTGGTGAGCTGTGGAGCCTCTCTGCTGGGGCCACCTGCTTTTTCACACTCTGTGTGTGTGGAGCGAAGGGATGAGCATGAGAAGGTCAGTAGAGGCCAGGATCATGTTTTGGCCCGAGGGCATCCAAAAATCACCTGTGAGCTCTGATAATTGCGAGTGCTCCATGCCAATCCCTGCTCCAAATGTTCTGCTCCACTTCCTGCTGCCAAACGGTCTCTTGTGCTCCTCTCTCTTCCCTAGGCACCTGCCTGAACTGCCAGGACCACACCGAGGGGAAGCACTGTGAGCTGTGCAAGGAGGGATTTTACCACGGTGCCAGCCCTGCCCACGTCTGCCAGCGCTGCCCCTGCTCCACCGTGGCATCCACCGGCACCTGCCGCCTCCGTGAGCCCTTGGTTTCAGTCTCCTTCCTCAGACACTGCATGTGGCTCTCTCAGTTGAATTGCCACTCAGAGTGCATCAGCCCAGGGAGGTGGTTTATAGCTGTGAATCCTGTTCGTGGGAAACAGGGCACCTTGCTGGAAGCAGGACCTGCCACGATGCATCTCTGGTGCTTGTTGCCTCTTGGGAGAGCAGCTGTGCAGAGAAACCATGGAATCACACAGTGGTTTGGGTTGGAAGGGGCCTTAAAGATCATCTAGTTCCACCCCACAGTGGTTCACTGCAGGCTGCAGCCTGCTCTGAAGAACATGCCAAGTTTTGTAGAAAGTGCTGAGCTTGTGGCAGCAGGAGAGGTGCAGGACATGCCCATGGACCTCTGAGTCCACTTCTGAACGTCCCCAAGCTGAGATTCTCCAGTCTTCCTGCTCTATTTTCCTGTAGCTGAGAGAAGTCATCGCTGTAATAATCATATGTATGACTTTTTATGATATTTCCTTAATCAGTTTTGCAATTAAGTCACTTCTGGCTTCCTATAGGCAGAAAAGTTCTTGCAGATTACAAGCATCCCTGATATAGTTCCAGCTGTTCTCTGAAATTGGCTGTTTGAGATGGAAATATTCAGGAGTAATAATCTATTTCCTTAGCAACGTGCTGAGTGTGCTCTGTGAGGCTCATGTGAAGCATCACCAACCCCCAAAGCTTTTTTCCCCCTAGGAACAGAGAAATTGCTGGAGTTTAAAAGTTGTACTTTCAGCTCAAAACTGGAGATTGGTTCATACTTGGTGGCTGCTGATTTTGGTCAGAGTGCCTTGGGGTCAGGTGCCAGAGAACAAATCCCACAGCACCTGCCAAGGGCTGTGACACATTTCTGCTTTGCTTTGTGTTCCTCAGAGCCTGGCGAGACCGTCCCGAGGTGCGACCGCTGCAACACAGGGTACACTGGTCTCAACTGCAACCAGTGTGACAAGGGCTACTACAACTCTGACAGCATCTGTGTGAGCTGTGAGTGCAACGGGAACGTGGACCCGGCGCTGTCGCCCAGCGTGTGCCGGCCCGAGAGCGGCGAGTGCATCGGCTGTCTGTACCACCCCGCCGGCGCCCGCTGCGAGCGCTGCCAGGACGGCTACGTCAGAGACCCCCAGGGCACCAACTGCACCAGGAAAGGTAAAACCAGGCCTGCTGTGGGCCTCAGCTGGCCATGAGCTGCCCCAGGGCTGGACAGGGAATGCTGTTGGTTGTTCGCGTTGGGTTAGGTTCATCTGGCAGGGAAGACTGAACCTGTTTAACACATTGGTGCCCGCTGGCCTGGGAGTGTAGTTAGAGTTAGCCTGGCAGGCACTGCTAGTGAACAGGCTGGGAAAAAAACCCCTATTTGCAGTGTATTAAATGTAGGTTTTCAGATTTCCACTGCTTCGTATCCTTGATCTCGTGGTGCCCAGTGAACTGTCCTTACTGCTCTGTTCAGTACCTCTGGCTGGTTCTCCAAAAAGGCTGTTGGTAATAAATTCTTTCACTCTGCAAACAAGAATTGTTTGGACCAAGTTTAGATCTTCTGTGGTTTTTTGCTTTCTAAACAGGGAAGTCAAAGCTCAGAAAGGCAAAATCCAAACTTTGACAGTGAGTCAATGCCAGAATTTACTGGTACCTGCTCTGGGGATCTCACCAGTCTCCAGTGCACATCTGAGACACTGTGTAGCATCTCAGATGCAAACTGGAGGGCTTGGAGTAAAATGAGAGAAAATGGTGCCGAAGCTGTTCCTTCACTGGTTATCCAGAGCCTGGTGCTCATGGTGGATCTCCAGCTTCATGCATGGAAACAGTGCCAGTGTGATGCATTAGATGAGAGAACCTGGAGTGCAGGGAAGTGTCTGGGCACAATTTCATCCTTGTCACCAATAGAGATTCAATCCAGATCTTCCATCAGGAGCTAATGTGCTTTCCATTCCTGTGCTGCTCTCTGGAGGTGCAGTCACAGAGTCCTTCCCTGCTCAGGGAGATGATCAATACAGCAGAGTTGGATGTTCATTAGCTGTAACTGGGCCGTTACTGGGCTGGAAATGGCACTTGTGCATTGGCTCATCCAGTACCTCCCCCTGCACAGCTCTGGCTTTGCACTAAGAGCCACATGACCTTGCTCCATTAAAATCCATATGTGTGGCTTTGCTTGTGTACTTGTAGTTGTCAGCATTCAGTTTTATTTTAATGCCATTCTTATAGCTGATTCCTGACGTGGGGAAAGGCTGTCTCCTTGCACAGGGACTGGGATGTGC